ATGAGGGCCTGGAGGAGATTGACAAGATGCTGGGAATCCCTACGCTGGCTGGACAGGTAAAGTCCTTAAGACTGGGTGTAGAAATAAGTATAAGTATGTAAGACTGTAATTCCCCTTAGCACTGAAAATTCTCTCATTACACAACAAAGGAAAAGCTTCGCTGAAATCTTTCTTAATCATTTCCTTCACCTATATCTTACCCTCCCACCATGCAGGGACCTCCCTCAGATCAGGACCAGTACCTTTGCTCCTCTGACCCAGCAGCCAATATGAAACCTCCCCTGTACAGCCAACACTACAGTGGCCAACCCAGTTAGCCTCCGGATGGCGGGTTCCACAGCCCACCCTTGAGTGGCCACATGGGGCCACAAAGGATGGCCCCTGCTGGTTATCCCCCAGTGCTCCGGATGCCCGGGAGCACAGGGCTCAGACCGACTGGGATGAGGCCAGGGGCACCAACTCCAATAGTGCCCCCTCAGCCCAACAACCTGAGACTCCAGCTGCAGCACAGACTTCAGGCACAGCTGGTGAGTGGCACCAAACATGTTGGCTTTTCACATTTTGTGATGCTTGTTGAATACAGACCATGTTGTGGTAAATACACTAGATGGGACTTACCATCACATTTAGTTGGTAGTTAGGATTTGTGCCGAGTCACATCACAAAGTGGCAAAGCAAGATTAATTTGTAGGTGGAGCCGGATGCAACAAAGTGACTACTTGTAATTCGTGCAGGGGCTGCTTTTAGTTGCTCTAATATTTTGCGGCAAAAGGGATACAAATAGAAAAGGTTATTTCTTATTTTGCTCTTTGAGCCAATCACTTGATTGTGGAGATTCCACTGAAATGACCTGGTCAGGGTCCAAAATTTCACTGTGATCAAGTTTTAAACAAAATCCACGAAGTCTGAAAGCAAAGCAGTTCAACAGGATCTCATTGTTTTAATTTTTGAAGGCTTAAAGAACTTGGACCCTAAAGTGACCCTGTGGAAATGGTGAGACTTTTCAGCTGTTTATACACACAGCACTGGTTTGCTGTTATGCAAAAAATATTGTGCATTTCAAGCTTATTTATTATTTTATGTTTGCAGTTCAGCTATTAGTGTGTCAAGAATCCTTGACATTATCTAATACTGATCAAACCTTTTCTTAAAATTACAGCCTCTTGGTTATCGATGCAGGATTTATAGGATTATTTCCTTTGTGGCAGCCCTACTTTGTGATGTGATATGCTGGTTAAATAATAACTTTAACTTGAACTTTATTGTCATAGTACATTGTACAACGAAATTAAAAATGCAATCCTTCGATGATAAAAAATTATCATAAACAATAAAACCCAACAAATTTACACACTCGCATCCATACACATCTGACTATTGCACAGTTCCTGTAAAATCCCATCAATCATTCAAATTTTAAGGTTTTAGCAGCATTTAAAGCAACAATAGCTCTCGGATAAATAATAATTACTTTGTATAAATATCTCTAAGGCCAAATCTGTTAAGTGGAGAACCAGCACTTAGCTGAGTTTCCCCCTCACTGCATCCCTGCCACAGACATTCCAACGCCAGGCTCCTTTACTACTGTCACTCGTCATCCATTTTTGTTACGCTGTTCAAACTGAGAACTAATTTTGCAATAAGATTGTAACAGCATCCTTACTAAAACGCCAAAATTATGAGATCAAAGCACAGCAGTCTGTTCTTGAAGAGGACCAGCCTACACTTAAAAAAACAAATATTTTCCTTGTTACATGTGATGCAACAGAGCAGACAGCGGTGCCAACGGGGTTCATCGAGTTTAACTAAACAGCCAGAAGTGAACAAACGTGTTTCAGGTTTCTGCCGTCATCAGCAGTTCCCTGCTGCTGAGACACTTAACAATAAACACACATACATACATAAATCATACTCCCTTATTGAGATGATTGTATACATGGACTGAACCTTATGTGACTGTTTTACACAGTGTTCTGTGTCTTTGAAGAGACCCAGGTACAGTAATTTGTTGTATTACTGTGTCATTCCACACATTAATGTAGATTTAATGTCTAGAACATTTTCTCACCTTTCTTGTTTTTTATTTTGCATTTATATTTTGCTCATACCTTTGCATTTCATATCTGAGAACCCCCTGAAATCATGATAACAATTTTCTACCATAGACTTTGACCAGCCCATTTCAAATTATATTAGGTCTAGACTGCCACCTGGTGGAGAGTTGAGAGAAAACACACATCAACCTAAATATCACTGATGATTTAGCAACGCGTTCAAATGTGAGTGTGACTTTTGCACTACCATGTTTACATTTCTGTGCTGGTGCCAAGTCAAACTCTGGAAGAAATGTTCATAAAACCGCCTGCTATCTCCAAATAAATAAATTAGTTATTCATATGAAGGCTTTAACACTGAAATAATTACTTGACATGCAAGAGTTTGGAATGTAGGATTTTCATTTAGGTGTTATCAATTAATAATAAAATCATCAAAATACAAACTAGCTTTTTCATAATATTTATTCTATATTATTGCAAACATTTGTAGCTCTGGTGCATCTAATAAGACTCAAACCATAACAGTCTTAGTGCCTCAGAAGTGGAATGTACCAGCCATAACTTTTTGAGCAGTAGTAACAGACTGATTATGGTACGTTATTACATTATACAGAATAAGAGCTCAGCAAATTATCAGTCTAAATGATCAGTTGTGCTGTATTTTTAACATTCATGCACTGTCATGACATGTTAAGCTGATGTTTTGAAACTAATTGTATTTTTCATTTTTCAACTGTATAAATGTAAAGCCACAACGACTTGATCGGCCCCTGATGGCTGATTGCAATATAAGTCATAAACCCCGCCCCCTCCATGTTAGTGGATGGGACATGAGGAAACTTAAAATCTCACAAGTAAAAATCCAATAAATTTCCCCCAAGAGTGATTTCTGTGCCTTTTGTAGATATCATCATGTTGATGTGTTTACAAGCGGTGATTTTTCTGATAAGGTAGCTTTTAATAAGTTATTTGATGCTATAAAAAGGGGTTTAACAGCTTTGATTGGCAGCCTGATATGCCACTCAACTACTCTGTCGCTACTGCTCTGAATCTGGTTGCAAAATACCAAATGGAAGCCGCTGTATTCATGATATTTTGGCTTCACTTTTGCATAGTGGAGGGAAGTGGTGACGGGTCATCCGCATTTATACAGTCAGTGCTCGTATCTGAGTGGTTGTTACCGTCTCATAATTTTCCAGTGAGATTAATAAGGTATTCTGTCTGTCCCTAATGTAGAACCGTCAGCCAGTGGTGAACCAGATGAGTGGAATGTCCAATATGAATCTACCTCTAAGATCTAATGTACCAAACCAGGTCAGTCTATAGATATCCGTGTATCTGCTGTCACTTTCTCTTACTCTACCTCACTTGTTAACCATTCAAAAGTTTAGCTTGTTGATTATTCCCTTTCACTCATTCACAAGGAGAAACGTCTTTTTAAATACTTTTACTGTCCTTACAAACTGTTAAAATTTGATTAAATAATGTAGGATTAGTAACGGAGATGACTTTATTTCGCCCTCCTCACATGTGCAACAGCCTATTCTTAAAGTCAGCACAGCTAAAAAAATATATTTAAAAAAATGCGCCAACACAAGATTTTGCAGTTGTTTTGTTAAGTTATGGTTGTTTTAGCACATACCCCCCTTGCAGCCTGTTTTTCAGCTAGTTTCATTGTGTGTAAGTGTCACCTTTTGTTTCCTCCTGCCGGGAACCCTCAAGGCCCAGATGCTGCCCCAGCGTCAGCGCGAGTACCTCAGCAACCATCTACGCCAACGCCAACAGCAGCACCAACAACAGCACCAACAACACATGCACCAGCAGCGTGCCATGATGATGCGGACTCAGGGCATCAACATGCCACCTAACATGCCCAGTGGGGGCGCCGCTCCTACGCCAATGCCCATGGGTGGCACCAATCCACGTCTCCCGCAGGGCAACCCGCAGCAGTTTCCCTATTCAGCGTCCAGCTACGGTACCGGTCTGCCCTCCCCTCCTCTACCTCCTCATCCCGGCTCCTCCAGCCCCTTCTCCTCCTCCCCTCTCTCCCCCAGCCATCATCTGGCTAGCCAGGGCATGATGGGAAATGTAAGCGGGCAGTACAGCAGGGTAATGAGTCCACCATCACAGCACAGTGCCTTCCAGTTTGGCAGTTCAGGTATATAATTAGAGTGGCATCTCTACAGTCGCTGTGTTTTGTTGTTGTGGTGGCAGTGATCAGACAATCATCTTTGCTCAGACTGTCTTTTGAAGTTGATTGGGTGCGGGTGAAGGTGAATGATTAAATCTCTTGCACTAGATTCTGTTTAGTCTGCAAATCAGCAGTGTTGTATGAAATTTTTATTTTTTTTTACACTTAAATCAGCACTTCATCCATTTCCTTTGTTTTTATTTATAACCCCCTCATAAACCAATCCGGGCACTAATAGACCACAGTAATTCTGTAGGGAA